ATGGATACAATCCGCTTCACGCCAGTTAGGATGGATGAAACCCGATTGAATTCTGGGGACTGTTCATCCATCCCCCGCCCTCACATGGAAAGCCTGATCTGGCCTTTTGGGCCTCATTGGAGGATCTTTGGGGTGCCTGGGTCCCCGAACATCGCAAGGGGTCACTTGCAACTGTTCGAACAAACCACCAATTGCGCGGCCAGGAAGGGCCTTGGGCGGGGGGAGAGGGGGACAATGATGGAAGCTGACAGGAGGGTTTTGGAAGGCTACCATCCGCTCGAAACGGCCGAAGGCCCACTGCCATGATTGTTGGAAAGGCAAGGTTCGCCCGGCAAACCTGTGGCTGGATTTCGGTTCCACCCCAGGCTTTTCCATGACCACAATGCCCTGTGACCGCGATTCAAGCCGACGCGCGTACGCGCGTGCTCGCTCGGCAAACGCCCGCCTTTGAAAAGAGACGTTTGAAGGCCACAGAATTATTGACAAAAATTGGCAGGGATGCGGAAAGAGCGGGGCTCAAGATGCGCCGACTTTGCCCTACCAACCAAACCTTGCTCTTGGCTCTCAACCAACCTCTACAGTTCACCAGTCAACACGCGAACTCCACCCCAAGTCGTTTTTTTCCCCCTCAAACAAAAAGAGAGAGCAAACCTTCAAGCGCACCCTTCCGCGCCACGCTTTAATTACTTGCGCGCCCTGGGACGCTTTTTGGCGCAGGCGGTCCTTTGGTCACTCCACCGGCCTGGGAGGCGATGAACTTGGCGTCCAGATTGGTGAGCTCGAGCTCCTGAGGCCATGGTCCCCTCGAGACCCAAGGGACAAAGGGACCAGGGGGAGGTGGGCTGGGAGGGAGGGGGGGAAATTAGATCCCCCTACTGTGGATGGACGAAATCCGATTCGCACCACTTAAGAAGCCCTGGAATGATTCGATTCCCCTGTAAATACCAACAAACAATGGTTTCAACCATGGTTTCCAAGTGGTGCAGGATTTCGTCCATCCACAGTATGTCCCAACCAAGCCAAGAAAACGACGACCAAACGAATGTGGCACGTTTCTCTGGGAATGTCTTGGGGTGTAAGTTGTTCGGCTTCTTTGAAAGAGAAATAAGGGACACTGTCGGTTTTGGGGTCCGATCATTTTGAAAGCAAGTCACAAAGGTTCAATCTTTCGCAAGCAATCACTCGCCTGTCGGTCGAAGGGCTTAAGGATCCACCGAAGGCCCAACCCAGGGGATTTCCAAACCTATTTTGAGGATCTTACTAGGTTCTGGCATTTCTGAGCTTGAAGCTTCTTCACAACGTGTTTAACTGTTTGACACAATTCAGGCTTCTACCCAAAAGCCAAGCTCAAGGATAAGCTTTTTGAGAGTCGTCTGGGTGCCACAGATGTGCCTTCAGGCTCAAAAGTGGCTCTCCCAACCCACACGGGCAAAGCACCCCCCCCTTCCCCCCGCCCTCGCATAAGCCGTTCGGTGTTGGAAAGACGCCCCCCTTGGGGTGGGGGGCGCCTCAAGGAGCGATTCACATGAAAGAAAGCCCGGCACAAAAAGCCACACGTCCTCCTACCTCTCGGAGGGTATCTGGAAGATCAGTTCTCTCTGGAGGCATACGGCTTTGGGCTCTACAAAGCAGGGCGTTCTCTGGACTTCTGGTGGGGTATTGAATCCAATGCACTGAACCACTGGCATGGTGGCTAAAAAGCTCACCTTTGCCACCCAACTCACCCAACAATTCCACTTGACTTGCGTGAAAGCAGATGTGTTCAGTGCCTTGACCTTGGCGCAAACGCGTTTCTGTTCATGGTCGCCTGCATGAGGTGCGGGGTCTTGATGCTCGTAAAACAAGCCATGTGATCCTTCAACACATCCAGGAGGAAGCTGCGTTTCGCTGAAGCTCTCCAACTCGAACAAACGCTTGACCGTATGGTCATCATTCTTTGCATTACTGGAAGCTGTGACGGCCACTGGTGGGCACTCTGCGTCTGCCGCTGCAATTGCCCCCTTCGTCAGCTTGATACGAAGTGGACAACCAACCCCGGCCCGTTCTCAAACCCTATCCACAGTCGCGCCACTTGGACAAGATGACCTGGACGTCTCAAAAGGGAGCATCATGTCAATAGTTGCATTCACTGAAAATGTTGTCAACGAGTGGTTCTATATCGACGTCATCATTTGACTGATCACAATGTATGAAGATGGATTAACCGTCTCATCGTCAGCTCATGAATCAGCATGTAGAGAACACTTTGAACATCTTGACAATGAAGCTGTTGAAGAATATATCTGCGAAAGAAGGAAACAATTAGAAGGCGAAACGGTGAACACGTCAAGGAGGGGACATTAAACCAACGCATAGGGAAACAAACAAACAATAGAGGGCTACTTCAGATAATGCAACAAACAATCAATAGAGGGCTACTTCAGGTAATGCGCCAGAAGAGGGCCTGTCACAAGACAGGGAGGCCCCAAAATGTTTGTCCTTTTGGTTCCCGTTAAAGCAAGGTTAAATTGGGTACCCGGAAAAAACACGCACCCAACAAGTCGTCGCCAAAAAGTTGATTTCCGGCCGAAGCGCAAGGGAACCCATGTTAGGGGGACCCTCAGTTTGAGAAACCGTGTCCATTCCCTAGTGGGCAAGGGGAGAGTCAGGAAGCCAGGAAACAGAATCTGGTCTAGTCTCCCGTTGAGTTTCCCTTAGAGAACCCCCCCCAGATATGGGCTACGATTGCACCTATCAAACTCCAAACCGATGTCATTCATTCCATGTCCCAGCTCCATCCCATCCCTGAGCTGCGCGCGCGGATGAGTTTGCGGCGCTCATCCAACAGAGGCCGCTTCCGATACATGGCCTGCAACAGCCCCGGTCCAGTGAGCTTTTCGGTAAGGGAGCCATTTGGCCATGGGTCAAAATCAAAATCGTACACCCAATGAACGTCCCAATCCCCACTAAAATAGACCAAAATGGGTGGTGCACCTATCCCAAAATGGTACCATTGGTTTTGATCCACAGCCATCTTCCTTTGTGGTTGGCCAGCTTCCGGACGACTGAACCCACCAAACAAGACGAGACAAAAGGGTGGAGTCCAGAACTTGGGCTCCGGAAAAAGGCCGTGCGCAAGAGTGGCAGATTCGCAGCAAGCCAACTGTGATTGTTTTTGGGTCCGTTCCGGGCGCGTCGGAAAGAACTTGAAACATTGATGCCACATCGCGCGCTAAGGGCGCCATGCCTTTCGGTATAGAGTACGTTCCTGATGCGCCTTGCAGGACATGTAGGGGAAGTGGTCGAAGAAGTGGGTGTCGTCAAAGTACTCGTCCGTCACCCCCATCTCCTTGGATAAACCCTCGAAAGGCCAGGGGCCTGGGAGGGGCCATAAACGCCATGACGTGAGGGAGATGTACATTTGAGCCAAGGTCAAAGTGCTTTGTTACCCGAAAGAACGTATCCTGGAAGCCAACATTGTAGCGGGATGCGTTTGGAGGACCTTTTCCTGTGCCCCTTCAGGTCATTGCGGGAGTAGTTGTGCTGAAGCAAATGATAGAAACCAAGCAATCAGAACGCATCAGTCAGTTGGATTGCCAGAGGCCCGCTCCAAAAGATGAGCGAAGCCACAAACTGTCTAACCCGGCAACAATGTAGCTTGATGGTGGCCGCTGTACCTGCTTTTTGTTCAGTTGGCATCCACAGTATCTCGAAGGTTTGCCCATACTCGAAGAGGACCACCTCGTTAGCTGGGCTATCCGAAACGAACCAATTTGTTAGAGCAGATTTAGGGTGTTGAAGTTGCGATGATCAAGCTGACTTGTTCAGCTTCGACCAACTTGAATGCCACGCACTTCTGCCAAAAGTATGGTATCCGAAAAGTATCACGCAGCGAGCTGCCACTTGTCGTAGCAACTCGTTGGAAACCACGTTGATGCTCAACCACCGCGTGACGTGCGGGAGTCTCCAACCTCTTCCGCAGATGGGTTGACAGGCACCAAGTTCATTGAGAGCCCAAGTACCTCCTGCCCTCTAGAAAAACTTGCCCTTGCCAACACCAGCAGGCCCAAACAGGCCCAAAAACGTGCAAAACCACACAAAACAAAGAACAACAGATACATCGGTCAGGGCCCTGTGCTGGCCATCATTCTAGGTTGGTCCACTAACCACTTTTGAGAGGGGTTCCCCATGAGAATTCATGGTTGGGTTCTTAATTTGTAGTCAAACGGCAAGGGTGTCTTTTTAGTTTCCCTTACCAAAAAGGTGGGTCTGCTTCTTACGGAGGGTCCCCTTTTCGATGGTTTAATGGAAAACCAAACGGAACCGGCCACTTTGGGGGTTTTCAACCTATTTTTTGGGACCAACCCTGGGGCATCCCCCATCGCCACTCTCCAACCGCAGCCGATCCGAGAGCCGAGAAGCGTGGCGCAGGCGGCGCCGCACCATCTGGCCCATGATCTTCCGGTCCAAGGTGGTGAGGTGCACCATGTCCAGGTCGAAGACCAGGTAGATGGGATAGTCCTGCGGTTTTCTTGGTCCGACTTAACGAACTTGCTGGTGCGATCAGTAGGGAATGATGGAATGAGCGAATAAGCCTAGGGATTTCCCTAAAGGAAACCATAGGGGATGGTTTATAGGGGATAGTCCTGAAAGGTTTTTTTTTGGTGGGAAGGGAAAAGGGGGAGATTTGCGGTTTCTTGGTCGGCCCAGCGAGTCACGGGGGAAGGGGGGGGGATAGTCCTGCGGGTTTGGTCGCGAGTCAGGGGAAAGGGAGGGGGGGATTGTCTCAACAAGAAGGGCCCTGGACAGTCAAAAGGCGGCACAGAAGCTGTTTGGTCCGACTTAAATAAGGGCTCCTCCATTTTAGCGAAAAGCCTACCAAGCAAAAGGGGAGGGCGATCTCAGTGGAGAAACAAGCAAAAAACATCCGGCGGTATCGCCAACAGCCCTAGCTCCAAACCCCTGCTGCCACCCGAGGTTCACGGCTGCCGGCTGCCACCATTGGCTGGTAGCCATCAGCCATCGAAGGCGCGAATTGCGGAAAAGACCGCGGGGCATGAAGCAAAGGCGTGTGGCATTCGGCTGATTCCCCGTTCTGTTGCAGCCATTTTGGGGGAGTAGCCTCTTCAGAACGGGGAGGTGAGGCTTAGGGGCTGCACAATGAAGAGCATAGAGCGCTGAACATAGGTGGCCCTTTGGAAAAATAGATGGGGTTCCCTGGTAAATGGAACAAAACCCATCTAAACCAGTGCCATCTAATTTTAACCAAACTCACCTAAAAAGGACACCTATGGCGCTGCATAGCTCCCGGCTGACCCGAATTCGCTGAACACACCCTTTAGAAGCAAGAACCCCTATAGCTAAAGCTATCTGGGGGAGAAAAAGAAAGGGGACATCCTGAAGAGGGTGGCATGTGCAAGAAGGCGGTTGCCTTTGAAAATAAAACAATTGGAGGAAACCAGAGAAGGGGCATGAGAAAGCACAAATGTGTGTGTGTGTGTGTGTGTTCAGAAAAGAACCCAACCCATATGAGTATGAGTTCTATTAGAGACCCTTTGGTGGACATCATTCAGGTGGGGGTGGTGGGGCTCACGTCCACCAACAACTTTGGCGGTGCTTCCCCATTGAAACTTCTCAGGGGTGGGCAACTGATCCACATGCCCTTCGCTGAAAGCCAAGTTACTCTCAATGAGCGAATTCTTCGCCAAATAAAACATATAGTTGAGCTGCAAAATACAACAATTCCACCTGAAAATCCCACAATCCTCTAAGTGAAGAGCCTCACTGGTGAGCTGGTGAGCTGGTGAGCTGGTAAGCTTGCTCAGCCCCTCCCCCTGAGCTCCCTGCAAATTAGGCAGGACATATGAGAGGCACAGTCCTCGTACAAGGACAGCAGGCGTCGCACGTCGCCTCACAGGTGGTTGCGGGTGGGTGGCTGAGTGGGAGTCAAACATACATGCGAGTCGATGTCATGAGGCAATGCCTGTTGCAGCTGCAACGGCTTCTGCATACGCCTTCTACAAATCACCAGCTGACGAAAGCCTGGACTAGGTCCTCCAGTAAGGAGGATAGAATAAGGGTACCAACTTTTTTCTGTAGTCTATTTTCGTAGGGGAAACCCTCCCCAAAAAGGGTAAAAGGGCACCACTGGTGGAATGAATGAAATCCTGTGAAAAATAGGACAAACCACCTATCAACTGGTGCAAGATTTCCAGTATCACATCCTACCCTCTGGAGATTCATACCGACTTCGTGGTGGGTTGGGAAACAAGGAGATCTAGGAGTACCCCTCCCTTATTCCGTGTTAACGGAGGTCGGAATATGACTTCTGTGGATGAACCCCTGTGAATGCTGTTTAAAGCACCTAATCCCAACTGGTGTGAAGTCTATCTTGTCCATCAGTATCACTTTCACCGAGCGGCTGTCTTTCTTGTTGTCCTCTCCGTGAGTCTGATGGGACCACACCAACTCCACGTACTTCTCAAGCTGCTGTCGCTTGGTGATCGTCGAGTGCGGCGACCTTGGCGCAGAGAGAAACGCAATTCCGCAGGCATAAGAGGGATTCATGTTGTCAGCGATGTTAAGCAGATCCTGGTGAAGTAATCTATTCATCAACCCCAGTTTATTAATAGGGGGGTGTTCCCCTCCAAAAGTGAACAATCCCCACCAAAACCAGGGACACCCCCATATTAATAAGCAGGGGTTTATTAATAGGGGGTGTTCATTATTGGGGCTTGCTCCCAAAACAAATGTAGCGAAAACGTGCCTTCGCAACTAGATTAGACAACGCTTCGGATGCGTCGCTCGCGCGATGTTACGTCACCCGCAAAGGAACACACACTTTGAATTGGCCAAAAAACGCCTTGCTCCGCAATTCCCGGCACAAGGGTCGAAGATTGGTACCCCGAGAGTGTTCAACCCTTGCGACTTTGGTCCTGGGGAGCCACCCCTACGGCAAATGGGGTCACCCTCTCGGCTTCAGCCGGATGGCACGATCGTCGGGTTCGCCTCTAAGGCGATGTGGTAGTTCACCTTGGGGGACGTCGACTTATCTAACAGCCCCAAGTAACATGGAACCTGACGTTCGGGACCCGGTCCCTTTTAAAGGAACATGGTCTTCCTGGACCCCCCCCGTCAGGTTCCATGTTAGCTTGTGGGAGGGTAACTGGATTTCAGTCGATTGGAGGACGCACATTGGAATACTCCCCAAGGCAAGCCCTCCTCGATACATGACGGTCGGCCCATCGACCCTTTCTGACCCAAGTACCATGGACTGTTGAAAGCGCCTCAAACCTCACGGTCCCATGGGCGAAAGTTACCGGGCAAAAAAAGCTTATCAGAGTTGCTGAAAGACTGTCACTTGCGCTTCTATTGAAACAACAGGGGTCATGCTGGCTTTTTCGCCAATCCTGTCCATCCCTCGCCAGAACCGAGGCCAGGCTTTCTCTTTAAGTCGTTGTGCCTTAAAATGACATGCGTATTTCAATACGTTCGGGCATTAGTATTTTATGTGTTCCTATATATATATATGTAAATATATATATATATATATTTGGGGGGAAGGGGGGGGGGGGGCATCGTATGCCCAGGTTCTCCCATGTACAGCAGATTTACACGATCGTAGGAGCCCCTCAAATGCGCTGCGAGGAAGCCAAAGGCCACATAAAAGGTCTTCCATGAACTGTCGTCTTACCCCCAAGAGGATAGAGAACTGACTTTGTGAAACCGATTGATCCCCTAAAATGCAGAACGCGGCTTCCGTGGATTTCCTCAAAGCAGCTGCCTCTCGAAAGTTTTTCCCTGGTTGGTTACCCAACCCTCCCTCCAAGATCGGACAGCGCTGACATCTTCACACCCGAAATGCGGTGGATGGAATTCCATTTTCAACCAGCTTTCCTTTCATGAGAAGAGAATCGGAATCGACAGCCCTAAACCCCCCCCCCCCCAGCCCCTTCAAAGCTACGGGTGCAATTGATGCCACCCATTTTGTTCATGCACGATATCCCACCTTTGGCGGAACCCCCTAGTATTCTGTCAGGCTGATGAATCCGGGGTTGATATTACAAAGACCCTGCCGCTTCCCAATGGTCGACTTGAAAATATTCAGGCAACCGGACCTTTCTGGCTGACAACGTAGCTCTTATTAAGCCTTCTTAAGGCCGCTATTTGGCCGCGGCCCAAAAAAAACCTGCACCCAGATTTCTGGCTTGCCTCGCCCGATCGGCAAGTGAAACCATGGAAACCAAACCCTGCGGTCCCCGGCGGCTGGCCGAGGTCTACATACCATAAAATGGGTACTTGACAGCCATATGTAGTCATGAGCTCTTTCCGAGAAATTTCGTGCAGAATTGCTTTGCCCCTCAAACATGTGCCTAGATTTTTTTTATTTTTTTTTTTAAAAAAAAAAGTTTCTGTTTGGGGGGGGGGGAAATTAGAGACTTCCCACAACCACCGACCCCAAAGAGCAAACCACTCAGCCCACATAGAACCCACTTGAAGGTAAAGGAGAAACATTGTAGTATTGTAGTGCCAATCCAGGGTTGCCTCCTTCCGTATCCGGGACAGAGTGAGTACTTCGCCATCTGCGCCAAGAGAGTGTTCTCTGTCCCAATAAATATATGTATAGAAATATATATATATATACACACAGCTTTGGAGATGCCTGTCAGAGTCCATGTCGGTTGGGAGGGTAAAAGGAAAAAGCAAAGGGAACCATCCATTTGTGGGACCCGAAGACAAACCCAGATCTGCGCTAACTCCAAGCTTGAGAGGGTATGCCTGCTTCTCCCTCCGAGTCATAGTCAAAGCCTTGATAATCGTCTATCCAACACCAAGTCAGTCAAGAGTTCACAGAGAGCATATCTGGAGCTATTTGTAGTTGGCACTACCCCTTGCCTTCATTGACCCGGCAAGGTTTTGCGGACGAAGTGTCATAAGATCATGAAGCCACGAGGTTTTACTTGAAGGCAACCAGAGGGAGGAGGATGAGCGGAGGCGGGTTGGATCCTGTGGATGGACCAAATTCTGCACCAGTTGGAACGGATGAAGCCCAATACACAATACAACCCACCCATCAACTGCAGGATTATCCATCCAGACTAAGCTTCCTGGCTCTCCGCAAAAAATGGGACAAATGCACTGACCCCCCTATCAAAAAAAACCTCCCCCACTTTGGCTTCTCCTGTATTTCTCGGCCATCCAAAACCCAACGTCCCATCAACGTCCCCATTCCCCACCCGGAAACCTCGGCCCACGGCCGGCCCACGGCCGGCGGCTCGAGGCTCGGAGGAGCCGAGGCGCGGCGCCCTGCACGGTGCGCATCACCGTCTGGGAGCGCATGGAGGCCCAGAGGCGCACCTCAATACCTCAGACGCCGCTCCCGCTGCTCGCGCCGCGCGCGCCAGACGCCAAGACGCCAAGACAGAGACTCGCCGCTGGCTGAAAAAGTGGCGGCGATGGGCTGCAAACGAAACATAGGCTTGATTCGGCTGCCTGGTGTGAACGAAAAATGGGTTGTTGTTGTTTTAGATGGGCGATTGTTTATTTAATGGTTGTTGAATGCTAGATATGGGGGTTGATCAATAATCCCACCAAATGACCATGGGTAACTTTTCCCATTCAGTGGGAGTATCATGTTGGTGGTTCTCCCCAATGGTCATCCCATGTAAAGGACCTTTGGTCAACCCCCGTATGTTGATTTTGTTGCCTGGCAAACGAAATACATGTTGGCTCTTAGTTGGTGGGTGTTTTAACGGGTGCGTATTCGTGACTTAATGGTGGGCCGTTGTTTTAATTAGCGCTGTTTTGGTTATTCGGGCGGCCTATGATTGAATGCTTGTCCATGCTGTACTTGATGGCTGTTGTTTAGTTGATCGACTCTTTCATGTGTGCACAGTATTTATGTAGTGTCCATTGAGGCTTATTGGCTGCTTGTTTAATGGCCATGTATGGCCGTGTATGGCCATGTATGGCCATGTATGGCCATGTATGGCCATGTATGGCCATGTATGGCCATGTATGGTCATGCAACGCTTGTTCAATGGGAAAGGATCCCTGAATGGTTGTTGAAAGGTGGTAAATGTTTTGCTACATAGGCGGGTGATTGCTTATTCACTGGTTGTGGGTAATAGTATCTTATGGTTATTCTTTTGGGGTATTGAATGGTGAAGTAGTGGCTATTTTAGAGCGTATTCTGTATTGATTGTTTAGTGGCTATGCATTGAATGGAAACATCATGCTGAACTCATATTGGTTCTGCTAAACCTCAACCTTTATTGGGATATGATATAAGTCTATCTAAACTCTAACAGTCTTAAAGCCAAAAGGCATGAGCAACGACCAGGAAGAAAGCCATCGACGTTTAATGTTCTGCCAACCTGCTTGGAGAATTGTTCCACAACAGGACATGGGACAAGTGGGTAGGCCCGTGTTTTTTGTTTTTGCTTTTTTTTTCCCGGGACACTCGCATGCCCCCAAACGAACTAACAGACTACCAGCTACTGAGAATGGTAAGGATCTTTGTTGAGGCTGCCCTTGTTGTGATTGTTTTGAGCTTCGCATGGCCAGACGTTTGGCACGAATCGAATAACATGTCTGGAAACCTGGAAACATGGGTATCTTTTTCTTTTTTAGGGACCCCCCCCCCAACCAAAAAAAAAGGAAAACAAAAGGATAAAATAAAGTGGCCTTCCTTTGGGTGCTCCTTGAAAACCACGCAAAAAGGGGTGCCCTCAAAGAAAGATACACCCAGATGAAAGAATCGCAAAAAGGCAAAGGGGTGAGTTGAGGTCAGTTGAATGTTGCAACGGTTGGACACGGAACATGTTCAATAGCTGATCGACGCAACAACAAGGCCAGAAAGAGCAACCATGCGTTGGCTGGCACACTGGGGATGTGTTTAAGGTCATGCCAAGGAGGAACCATGTCGTCCAGATGTTCCTGCTAGATCTCCAGTGGTTTTCCATGAAAGAAGAACTGGGCTAGTGGACTTGCAAGGGAAGTGTCCAATTGAAACAATCTGAAAGAGAGGTATCAAAAAAAAGATGCCACTGGAGGTCTGAGTGCGTAAGAAGCACTCCCCTGGATTCATGCCCTTGACATGCAAGCGAAAAAAACGCCTTCCCCCTCCCCCAAACAACAAAAACTCTCCCCCTCTCCCCCCCCCCAAAAAAAACAAACACACACACGCGCGAACACAAAGAAAGAAAGAAAAAAGAAAAAAGAAAGCCAGGAACCCCGTTTTCCCGTTTTGGGGTCTGTCAGATCTTCCGAGGCGCGGGTCTTGTCGCTCACGGGCGGCTGGGCCTTGCCCAGGTATCCTCGGGCGTCTCGCGCACGGCGGCACGTGCCGTTCCCGGGCGTGACTTCGAAGGGAAAACCGGGGCCCAGTGACCTGAACTTTGAAAAACCGTGCGCCTCCATTTGCTTCACTTTTGCTAAGACCCCTGGGAAAAAAAAAGAAGAGATTCTGTTCGTGAAATGGATTCCCTTCAAACCCAACAGGGGAAAATTAAAAAAAAAAAAAAAAAAATATTCTTAAGCAAATGGAAGTACAGCGGGACCCCCAGGCGTGATTTCAGAAAACACACAGGATCCCCAGGCGTGATGTCAAAAGAAAAGACACCAGGACCGTGGCGGATTTCTTTGGAATCACCAGTCGCTCACTCACTTGCTTGCTAGCTTCATCTGTGAGAAAAAAGACACGCGAATCCAAAACGAGGACTTCCAAACTAGAAACGGCTGGTGTGAACTCGAAAAAAGACGGTCCGGCTGCACAATACTCCGGACCAGGGGTACTCGCTTCAACCCGGCCCAAACGGCGATGCCTTCACTGGTGCAGGCCATCCCCGATGCTGTCCCACTGTTCTTTTTTGTTAAAAAAAAGATATCAGAGATGTCCATGTCGCAGCTTACTGGACCATCCATCCACAAAAACCAAACCACCGCAAGTCTTAGCAGATCGCACCTCCGGGACCTGGACTTGGTGCTCCAGAAGAGAGGTTTTAGTTCTGCAGCCCATTTCAGTAAAAGAACCCTCCCAACCAAAAAAGAAATGGGAGAGAAGGGCACCTGGCGGGACCTCTAAGATCCATCTCCTTCTGCTTGTTGCTTGGTTGACGCTGGAAGGGGAGCAAAAACTTAAATGTTAGCGGTTCAGCGGTTGGATTTCAACCACTAAACCACAAAAAACAATGTAAATCATGTTTCCCAACAACAACCATGTTCAAGGGTGCTTTTTTTTTGCCACTCACAGAAAGTAGCCCTAAACCCAAGAGTCATGGCTCAAAACGAGAAAATCTTTGGGCCGCTGTCAGGTGCCATTGGAAGCGAGTCGTCTCCGCCCGAGGCGCGCAGCAGCAGATTGGTCTCCGCCAGGCGGGCCGTGAGGCGCTGCCACTCCTGCGCGCCAAGTTCTTCGGGTCAGCGGCTGGTAAAAAAAATATGGGCATGTCGCGTTTTTTGAGGGTGCCCTGTTTCTTTGTGGTTGTCAAGGGAAACCGAGAGGAAGACCACATTTTCATGTTTATTGATTCATTCATGTTTGGTGTTTCTGTGGTTTTTCAGACCTTTGGATTTCCCCGAGAGGAGACTCCCCTAGTATCTGTTCCAGAAAGTGATGTTTAAACTCGCACAGGGAGGGTGTAGGGGCAGCTGCGCTGACGCGATGTTTGCTGGACGCTGCCCTTTCAGGGCGTGCGCTCCGACGCTGGAAACGTCGCACGCCGTGATTGGCGTTGCCCAACTTGGCGACCGTTGTCGCTGACATGGTTGGCCAGCGGTCCGAAGTACGTACCCACCAGGCATGATCCGATCTCTGGAGGCAAAATAGAACATATCTGGGGGTTAATTCTTTCATCTAGATATGTTCAACCATCCTTTTCCATCTAGGGATTGAACATGTTCAACCCCTTAACATATCCTTAGATTGATTCTTTCATGGTTTGATTCTGTTCAACCATCGTTCTTTTAAGAAAAACCTGATCCGTTTCGCTGGGTTTCTGGGGGTTTCCTAGAAAGAAGGATTCCGGGAAAGAATGGGGAAGGTACTCCTAGAACATATGGCGTGTACACCACACATATTCCGAAAAACTGTGCACGGTGTCCCTCAGGGAAGTCCCTTCTCCTAAATTTGGCCGTGTCTGTTTAAGCCCTAAGGCACAATATGGTCTCATGAGCACATCGTATGAATGTCGATTCTAGGTTCCACACCTAACAACCCACCTGAAAATGCGGATGCAGGAGCAGAAACTCTAAAGTACTTCTGACGGGGTGAACTTCTTTTGGGGTCCGTTTTTAGAGGTACATCCAAAACCCACCAATGTAAAGGCTTATCGGGAAAGGCTTAGCCGAACTCATCCTTTGCGTAGAGGGAGTCTTTTGATCGCCTTGGAGACTCATCCCGGTGCTTTATCAGGCTTCACGCTTTGGTGAAGGGTGGTAACCACCACCCATCTGAGCAACATGTTAAACACGACTGGGGGGCTTAACCACGACCACTGTAATAAGTCAATCGCAGGCGACAGTTTGTTCTTGCCTGTTGGGTGTGGCCAGCTGCCGTTTGGCTGTGTCTCTAGTCACTCACCCTCTCTGCGGCCTGCGACTCTGTGCGTCTGTGTCTCCGTGCGTCTGTAGTTTGCGGGCTTGTGCGCTTGTGTGCTTGTGTGTCTGAGTGTGTTTGTGTGTTTGTCTGTTTGTGTGTTTGTGTGCTTTGTGTTTGTATGTGTTTGTGTTTTGTGGGTTTGTGAGTTTGTGGGTTTGTGTGCTTATGTGTCTGTGTTTGTGTTTGTGGTTGTGTGTTTGTTTTGAGGGTACCTTTAACGGGAAGCTACAAGGAAACCAAGAATGTTGGGTGGGTCTGTTTTGACACATATGCACCTGTTGAGAAAGCCACAAGGAAGAATTAAGCCCAGGAAGAACATACGCCGCAAGGCGTCTAAGTCTGCCTTGAGCAAGAAACAGGAACCCCCATCGGTTGAAGCACAGGGAGGGACATGACACCAAATGCAGACCAACGAAATCGGCAAAAAAGACGGGACCTGCAAGTTGGCCGCCCCCAGAAGGCAACTGACCATTGTTATTGTGGGGCTCCCCCCTTTTTGAGAAGGCCGTATGTTTGATTCTCCAAATGCGAAGCAAGGGAAACCGTGTTGCTTACCAAGGTTTGCGTTTTGCTTGGAGTTCAGGGAATAAATCTCCTTTGGACGCCTTGAAACAATCAGTTTTCATGGGATCGTCCCCGATTACATTGAAAACCCCTTCGTAGGTTTCAGAAGTCAAGATGGCTTAGTCATCACCTTACCGCAAAAAAAAAGAAAAGAAATTGTGTAAACCACTGCTTCCCCACCAAGCAAAAAGCAAGCACATGCCTGAGTGCGAAGTTGCACTCTAATCCCCACTTGAACGGCGCTGCTTCGGATTTTTACGGGAACCCGAAACCATCAATGGGATTTTAGGAGTCAACCATATAGTTGGAACAGAGTTGTACTATGAAACCAAATCCCTTCATCATCATGAAAGAATGCGGTGTAATTTCATAGCCCCTTAAGTTACCCCCGAGTTTGTCTTTATGCAGCCGTGGGTGTCCAGCTGCCATGGCCTCAGTCTGCTTCCGAGGAGTCTAGCTTTGCATTGCAGGAAGTTGGTTGGATTTATCTCCGAATCTCTGTGCACGGTCGGTTTTTGCAAAGGAAACCCTTAACATCCCCCCATCACAGAAACTTTGACCATGGCATTGAGGATAGTCGGAAAGGCAACGGTGTCAGCCTTCTTTTGATTCGCGCCAAGCATAGAACACTTGGAATCTTTCGTAAATCGCCTGACGCAGGGGAAACTGTGTCGTTTCGAATGCTGTGAGCATTGTCCTTGGCGCCTGCACCATGTTTGTGGGAAATCCCCTTCTGTTGTGCCAAGAGGGTCATTCACATGACTCTGTCACATTCTGCCACTTTCAAGGGTCTTTTTCTTGGTATCACACGAAAGAGGCCTGTCACTTGCTGCTCACTTTCCAGGGTCTTTTTCTTGGTATCACACAAAACCGGCCTATGACTTTCTGTCACTTTCTGTCACTTTCAAGGGGGGGTTTTCCCGGCATCACAGGCCCAGCGCCCAGGGCTCCTGGGGGTACTTCATAATGATCCACTTCAAGTTCGCGCCGTTGTTCCCCTGCAGGAAGGGATCCTGCAGGATGACCTGATGAGAAACGCGGCTGGGGTGTTGAAAACCCGCAGAAGAAATATTACAAAAAAAAAAAAAAAACGCGGCGCGATCCATTCGAGCGGCTCGGCGGATTTTCCGCCGGGCAATTCTGAAGCCCCAAAAAGGGCTTTTCGACGGCCTTCAAGCTGCGAGGGGGTCTCCATCTGCTTCTCTTCGCCAGCAAGCAAAGGAAGGGCTGGGCTACAAGGGAATAGGGGGGGGTGGGTGGGTTTAAAGTTGGAAACCAAAGGGAAGCTACCCTGCGGACTTGTGGAGGGTTCCAAAAAAACGACCCCAAAGGAGCTGTGCCATCTTTCACTCAAGTGGGAACATCCTGGTGAACTTGGTCGAATGTACTCCCCTCCATAGTGTGCACCCTTGGAGGTTGGTGTTGGGCCAAAACCTCCACTCTCTCCGTAGGTTTTGTTTTGCTATGCCACGCTTGTATGCATGCTGAGTCTCTGGTCAATCTGGAGTTCGTGGCAGGGCGACCCATGAAATTTCGGCCAGAGAAAAACCAGGGGCGACCTAACGATTTTTCCCACGTCCATCACGGGAAGCGCGCGAACTCCGACCGTTGCCGGGGGTGTTCCCGGGCAAACGCGACCAAAGACAAACGCGTCCCTTTGTTGGCCCGAATGGAAGTACCACTAGGTGAGTTGGTATATCATATACCCCTTTCGGGGAGGGCTTTCAACAATAGCAAGCCTTTTTGGGGTTGCTTTGCCCGAGCGGTGTGTAAAAGTGGCATATATATATATATACATACATACATACATACATATAATAATATATATATACATATTATATTATATTATATTATCTTATATTATATTATATTATTATATATATATAGATATATATATATATATATATATATACCGGGGGGTCGATGTCTTATTCGAGATTGGTGAGTGGTTCTATCTCACGTGAGCCGGCATGATCCCCTGAACATTGCAAGTACACCAGTATGGTGAATCGCAGGTTTCTCCAGACATGTCGGCTGCGGGGTTCCCGGGTTCCTGCTGAACAGGGTGGCTGGAACAACGGGCGAACCTTCCGTTTTGAAGAATTCCTGAAAGGCCTTTCCTTGGGATCGCCGAAGTGGGGGGGTTAGGATTTTACCCTTTTACCCTTGGCTCCAGGATCAAACCCTCCTCACCCCTTTCTTCCCCCCCCCCCGCAACAGGAGGTCTACGACAACACGCTGGCCTCCTCATTCACTGCTGGCAGCACTTGCGACAGCGGCATGATGTCGTGTGTGCGGAAGATGCCGTGGTGCGAGATGGGCGGGTTCTCCTGCGCAAGGGCGGCCCATTCGTTTTGGGTGTCCCCTCCTAACCAACTGACATGGAACCCACGCAAGGGTTTTCGTTGTCGGAGCAAAATGGGAATGGTCCTCTGGGGCCCCCAGTCAGATTCCATGGCAGTGGATGGAAGGGTAACTGATCGAGTGACTTGTTCAGTTGTAGGTCTGGCCTATCCGCTTGGTTCAAAACCCCATCCCCCCTTTTTCTAGTTTCCTCCAAATGAGGCGGGTCCTACGTTACTCTGTTTGGGGCCCATGAGCAGTCTCATAGGCTACATGACTCCCTTCCCACCCTTGCAGGTCGGAAAATAGATTTGGTCACTAGGGCGACACTCACAATGAATAAAACGGGTAACAAACAGCAGTCGATTTTGGTCAGAGCCCCAAAGTGCTGCTGGCCATGAGATGTGACCCTTTAAATGACGGTGATGGAGACGTGCAACAGTGGCCTTCAGATACTTGCACAGGGAACTTGTCGGTTTCGCCAGGCACTGTGGATGGACGGAATCCTGCACTAAATAAAACCCCTTTCACACGGAGCAGCCAGAGTCGCACAATGCCCTTGCTCTGCAAAGCACTTGTGCCAAAAGCAAAGGACTCCTGTGTCATCCTCAAAGCCTGGCACGGAAGGAGTCGTCCCAAACACGGAATCAAAGCCAAGGGCCACCAATTCCAAGGTAGGGCTACGTAGGTCCGTCCTCCATCCGTAGCCGGTCTTCGCAAATGGTACCTGGAGCGCAACTAGCTCAACTCAAAGCCTCACTTGGACCCACTTGAAAGCGCCCTGCCGCAACTGGGTGTGGTTTGAAGGCATTGGGGTAGAGAGCACCAGAGGGAAACGGGAAATTGGCTGGCTGAACCCCCAAGTTCAGCACATAACGGATTCTTGGGGCAAAATGAAACAGTCCCAGCCTGCTGCTGCAAAAAAAAAGCGAGTGCCCAAATATCGGTAGAGTGGCGGCAACCGATCTGAAAAGAATTGGAATTGGGGACCCTTGGTTGGTAAGGGAAGCCAACGGAAAGCCAACAAGTCTGAGTGCGTCCAAACTTCGGAAGCACCATTTATAGTGTTCAAAAAACAACAAGTCCTCCAACAGTCATTTTTCAGCCGGCTGAAAGGCGTGGGAAGATTTTCGCTTCGACCATGACGGATGCAAGACTACACGCGGGGTTTTGTCAGGAGAACCCTGTGTGAAAGATTCTCGGCAAATGACTCTAGTTCCCAAGCTGGAAGTATGTCTCCTGAGGGCAGCCAGCCGCCGAAAACATATCCTTCTCGCTTGTCGCATGTCACTCGCTCCCAAAGCGCACGCAGCGAGGCGAAGAAGAAGGTAAAGCGCTCGCGCACCACCGGATGCAAAGTGTGCAGGTAGACGGGCGCGTCCGGATTCTTGTCCTCAGATCTCGAGTCTCCAAACTAGGGGATCCCCAACACTTATCCCAAAGAACCCGTGTTCACGTTCACGGACCCAAAGGAAGCCGAGTTCAACTCAAAGGCCACCGGATCGCTGGCCCTCTTTCCCGCCAATTGCTTGGTCTGCCTTTGGAACATTGCTTGATCCAAGCGCGCAAAAGGTCGATCACCTGAACAAAGGTTTGACAAAGCCCATCTTCCCCAAGGGGCGGACCATTCAGCCCCCAACACAATCTTGAGCTGGCAAAACAGTGAGCTCGCCTTCTTTTGCAGACTGTCCAGGGTTCCTTTCCAGAACCCCCACCCCCCAAAAAAAATAAAATAAATAACTGGGGGTGAAAAGACCGGGGAATCAACCCTTATAGACATGGGTGTGTCTGGTTTGAGGGCACAGGGGTGGTTAACAAGGGATGATGGAAACCCACCCTCTCTTTGGTTTTTCCGTTTTGCTTTTTTGCTTTTGTTTTCTTTTTGGAAGGGGAACGGGGGGGTCCCCTAAAACAACAGCAACGTATCTTGTGGACTCATTGAGCCTAGTGCAACATGACTCACCTACGCATCCTGCGCGCCCTTCAACGAGCTACAAGTAAGATGGAGACGATCGGGGGACCCGGACTCGTGGTGTTTGACCTCGTGGCTTCCCCTGGAAAACCAACCAAAGTTGGGGGTCCCCCCCCTAAAAAAAAGAGAGCGCGCCCAAGTGGCCATGGGTCACAACCCAAATCGTACCCCCAGTGAACATCCGATTCAATCCAACCACTCAAATAGGTCCTAAGATGGGTGGCGAATTCACCTACCAAAATGGGATACCGTTTGACGGTTTTGACCACCACAGCCACATGAGCAAAAATCACAAGCCCAGTCCTGAGGCCCCTGAAAACTTCGGGGCCCAAACGGGACCCTACTTCGGGCCTGCTCCCATCCGGAGGGCTCGACAGTCGGGAGCTTAAACCAACCAACTAGGCTGTCCTCCGGAGAGGCGAGAAGAAGTTGGTACCCACTTTTTTTCGGTTTTGCCTAGTAGGGAACCCTCCCCAAAAAATGAAATGGGAGAGAAGGGCACCTGGCTGGGATACCTAGTAGGGGGTCCCCCCAAGTGCTGATAGTGCTCACCCCGACACGAGGTTACAACCCCCTTCAGAAAATCCGAACCATGTGCTTGGGGAGGCTCGATCCCTAGACTCCTTCGGCTCGTTTTTCTCCAAGACTCGGAGTTGGCGCATGTCCCATTCTGGCATTTCGGCAGCCTCTCATTTCAACCCCACCCCTTCCGGAACCCAAAAAGACTTCCCAAAAAGAAACCCCGAAGAAGCCTCGAGCTTCTCCCACTACCCCTCCAAACCAAAAGATTTCTTTTAAAAGAATCCCCGAAGAAACCTCGAGCTTCTCCCACTGGCTTGTCCCACCCCCGAACTGGCTGTGGTTCAAAATTTCACAACCCGGTTTAGACCGCAGAAATTTTAGTCCATGGTTCCTCTTACCAGGGTCCCACCCATTTTGGGGTTACCCTATTTGTGACCCGCAGCCAACTCTTTCTAACCCCCCCTTCAACTCAAAAGATGTCTTTTCACAGAAATCCAAAAAAATACGGTTCCCACTGAATTTGTCCCACCCCTCAACCCTTTCGTTTCGTCCCCAAAAAGAAACCCCAAGAGAAACCCTTCACAGCCAGCTGATCCTATTAGCTTGTTGCCTTTTTGGGTTTCCTTCATTTTTCCCCTTCAAGCAAGCAGTTTGAGCCATTGCTCGAGGCCTCCCCCGAAGCCTTTCGTTTCCTCCGCTTTCAAGCCGCGGAGTTGCTCTTCGAGGCCATCTGCATCAGCTGATCCGACTCCGCCATGCTCAGCAGATCCTCCTTCCAGAGCCGGTAGCCTCGCGGAGGGGCAACCGACTTTCGTTGCCATGGAACCCACCTACCCGAGGACTCCGGTTGAAGGAACTTTATGGTTTCTTTATGGTTTCTTTATGGTTTCTTTATGGTTTCTTTATGGTTTCTTTATGGTTTCTTTATGGTTTCTTTATGGTTTCTTTATGGTTTCTTTATGGTTTCTTTATGGTTTCTTGATGGTTCCTTTATGGTTCCTTTATGATTTAAACATCAACTTCTAGGAACATTGTCGTCTTCCAGGACCCAGAAACGTCTGGTTCCATGGCAACGTGGATTGGGAGGGTACTTGAAGCCAAAGAGAAACATAGAAGAACGCGATTTTCAGGGTCCAAATCCCTTTCCTGACACATCTTGGCGTCCAACCCAGGGTGCACCAACAAGCCTCTGAAGCTTCCATTGTTTCTTCAGCTACTGAGATTCCACCGGCCCTCCCCGGCCCCGAAGGAAGAACCGCCACATGTGGTTGGGACCAAGGCGCCAATAGCCCTTGCGGGTAAAGCTCAAGCCGATGGAGCCCACCGCGCGAAAAAAAAAAACACGCTGCCTGGCCTCAACTTGAAACCCATCCCCCGAAATCCCGGCGGCGACGTGAGGCTTAATCTTGAATTGGATACCCTCTGGTGGACATCATGGTGAGTCCAAGCTCGGATGGTCTTGCCAACTCCTGGATTCCACCCCGGGAGAGGGAAGCACCTCCCATGCAAAAAAAAAACACGCTTTCCTCCGTGGAATTGTTCGGGGAGAGGCGAGTCCCCAGTTCTAACCTGCATCCACCAACTCTCTCCCAAAGACGGAATCCACCATGTCCTTGTTAGAGGACATGTCCTTGTTGCCCTCAAAAAATTGGCCGCCCCGCACAAAAGTACAAAATACCGGGTGAATCGTAGAGTGTGTCAAGGTCTTTCAGGCTGCTCCTGGAATAAATCCAACCATCTTCGGATACCAATTCGGAGCTAAAAGCATTTAAATACCCCAAATGGCTGTGGCCTGCATTTTGCGAGGCTATGGGTGCCCCCTTCTTGGTTTTTGCGGCTCCTGTCTTCTTCTTTTTTTGCAGGGAGGGGAACCCCCGAAGGACCGCCGATTCTAGGATTTTGGGGTGTCCCCCAAAAGGGTCCCGACGCTCTGCTCGCGTCGGATGGCCAAGCCGCAGATCAAGTTCCAGGTGTGGCGCCAGCCGTTGCCGAAGACCCGCCTCGGGTGACCGACCGGCGACCCGGAGGCGACCGGTGCCAAGGTGCCGAGGCGCCGGCCCATGGCGCTTGAAACGCTTTTCTTTTTTTTGTGGGGGGTGGCTCGGAAAAAGTCCGGAAAGGCAGAAAAACCCCAGGGGTTAGCCTACTTGTCCGTTTTTGTTTGGGGTGTGGCTCAAAGTCTGAGAGCCAGAAAAAACGCAGGTTAGCCTAGTCCATTTGCCGGGGGTTCCATTTTGGGAAATCCCCTACTTTTTGAGTCACACCCATTTGATGGTGCTCCGCCTTCATAACCCAAGAGAGCTCTCTAGGGGCCGGAAAGAAAAGGGGGCTCCAAGTGCCCTTGGCTTAGTTCGCCCACACATCAAAACGGCTTGCGGGCAAACACCCGCCCAAAACCACCCACATGAAGGCGAAACAAACACCCCTTGGATTGGTTGCCCACAAAAATCAAGGCTTGGGGCAAAAACCGGCCCGAACAGAACAACCCCCTCATTTTTCTGAAGCGAACTCCCCCCAAACCCCACAAACCAAACCCCACAAAAAACCAAAAAAAAAAAAACCTCAAAACCCCACCAACCCCACACCTCCCCCCAAAGCCCCAAAGCCCCACAAACCCCACCAAGCTCTCGGTGCGCGGCTGCATCAGCTTCCCGGCCCTGGGGTTGTTCTCCCCCACGCCCAGCTCCGAGTCCGACAGAAACACCGCGGAGTCCGGCGCCTGGGGGCGCACAGCGCGGCAGCGCCCAGGCGCGGCCAAGCTGAAAAAAAAATCGCCCCGACCTCCAGATTTGAGAGCTTAGAATAAGTTAGTACCCGATGCTTTTTCCGGTTTTGTCTATTTTAGTAGGGGAATCCTCCCCCAAGAAGGGGAGAGAAGGGCACGACTGGGAGACCTAGCTATGATGTCCAGAGGGTGTCATCCAAGAACATTCACACCCACATAGAGGAAAAAACAGGGCCCCATGTTGCGGGGAAAAGTTGGGTGAGAAAGTTGAGCTTGTCTCTAACTGGGATCGGAACCCCTTGGTCTCGCAGTCAGGACTGTTTAAACATGACTGTTTAAACGTTTGCAAACCCACAAAATACAGATGGACCTTTGTGCAACATGTGTTTGGTCTTGACGAAGGAAAGGCGGCCTCTTTGATTCAAGGATATAAAGACCATTCTTTAGGGTGGTATCACCTCCGGCATGCCGCACCACACCACCCCCGGGGCTTCAATGCGATATACAGCCGCTGCTTTCGTGATGGCCAATACGTCAACCTCCATTCGCTTAAGTCCCTGGAAAAAATGAAACAAATGTCCAGCAGTGATAAGCAAATATGTGAGAGATGCTGCGATGGCGTGACAGTCTCAGTCAACAGAAGCTGTGCGTCATTGCTGGAGGCGGTGCCATGTCAATCTGTGGCGCAGTCTATGCAAATGCAAAAAATATGTATTTTGGAGGCTATCCAGTTTGGGGTGTGCTTTAAAGGGAAACCATACACCAAAAGGTGTAGTAGATGGCGCACGCAATTCCCTGTATGCCAAGTACAGGGGCATTTTCATCCAACTGCAAGGTTCGCAAATGGTCATTGGACCGCTGTACGGTTTACGAAGAATCAAGGTCACGCTCAGATATTTGCTGGAGCTATTGATACGTACAGTCCACCAGTATCAGATTGTGACGCTGCGAAAGCCCTTCTCTAAGTGGCATCAAACAAGCTCCATGATCTGAACATGCCAACAGGCTCCATGATCTGAACCTGCCAACAAGCTCCATCATCTGAACCTGCCAACAAGCTCCACGATCTGAACCTGCCAACAAGCTCCATCATCTGAACCTGCCAACTTGAAATGACTCAAGTGAGTCACAATCAAAAGGTCGACCCAGAACCATGTAAAGAACGAAGAAGGCGGATATCCGCGACTATTTATGGCTGGGATCGTCCCTTGCTAACCTTCACTTACCCGGGTTTTGATTGTGGCTCAAGTCTTTTGGGCGTCGCCAAACCCGAACTGCCCCCCGGCTCTCCTTGCGCATGCCGTTGAGCCCGCGCTGGGTGCCCAGGATGATTCCCACCTCGGCCCCCGGGCAAATCAATGGGACGGTGACCGTGGCAAAAGACCAGAAGTTCTGTCCACGAGGCAAAGCAATGGACACAGATGTGCGTCCAAGTGTTTGGTGAAACCTGACCAACTGTGGGAACTGTGCATGAACTTATTGGAACAGGGAAGCACATCGCAATTACTTTGCTTGGAACGACGCCCTTCCGCATACCTCTTTCCTTTTTGCGCAGATTCAAGGAGGCTGGCCAAGCCGTGGGCAAACCAGTCCATAAGACTCGAGCGGAACTTCCCACTCTTCATTGTTCCAGGGTTCGATCGCCTCGCGCAGGATGGTCAGCACCGCCTTCGACTGAGTCATGTCCAGCGGAGAATGACCACGTGAATTTTTTGCATGCACATCCGCCCCGGAGTTCAAATAGAGCGAAACGAGTTCTGTGCAGCCAAACGCGCATGCATAGCCCAAGGGAGTTGTACTTTGCTCTGCCAACATCTTCAGGAAGATCGAACGGGGCTTGCCGCCGAACTGCAGGTATACCCGGCTCATCAGTTCCAAGGCGCGGAAAACGCCGCCAGGGTGGCCGTGAAAGTTGACGTCCGCTCTCGCTCTCACGAGAAGATCTGCCACTGCCAAAGCAAAAGGATTGGATGTGGCAGTCACCTGCCGTAGATCTCCCAGCAAAACCTTTAATTTTTTGCTCTCTCAATCGCCACGTGCGGAAACACAGCTAGGCTAAGCCGAACTATGATCCAGGGGACAAGAAGTGAGACGTAGCCATTTGACTTTTTGCTGGTGAAAAGGAAATATCAGGGGAATCCAAAAAGTTAAAGTCCAAAGATCCAACCCAATAGCAGTAGAGTCACGGTCACCATGGACAGCGCGGAGGTGGTGGCAAGTCCCCCGGCATATGAAGGAGGGTCTGGACTGGCACGGCACGCCAAAAGCTGAGCAATCACCTGACTGCGGGTCAAAAATAGCAGGGATCCTTACATTTTTCACCTGAACATTGCCTTGTAAATGGTGGTTTCCCTTTATTTTAGTGGAAAAACATGTTTCAATTGGTTGCAAAATGTATCTTTAAGGAGCCCTGAATAGGTACCCAAAATGGGCAAGCGCCCGATCGGTAAATGGAAATTCCAGGTGTTTTAGTTTTGACCCATGCCCACCTCTGGCTTGGTGCTGTCTCCAATTGCCAAAGCCAGCACCGGAACATGCAGTGGCCAGTAGGCTCCGTTCGGATCCGCCTTGTGATCCACGAGCATCTGAACATCTCTGGCAGTCTTGCAACCTTGGCTGGAAGTAGTTCACCCGAGCAAATTTTGACACTAAGAAAGGTAAATTATGTAGTAATTTTACTTGTCAGCGCCTTGATAATTCAATCGCTCACCATATAGATAATTCAACTTCATTCTGTGTATATTGTAATTGTAATGTTTCAGCTCATTAAGATTTTAATATATTTATCTCAAAATCTTAAGTTAATATTTAGTTTTAGACTAAAAAAGGTTTAAAGACATAATTCCTATATACAGTAGAGAGTAATCAAGGAACAAGAAGAAAATAATTATATCAATAAGAAGTGCTAGACTGTTCCCATTTCAAAGGGAATATGGAACTATACAAATTGAATTTACCAAATGGAATAGTTAATAAAATCATTGGTTATGCGTTGGGCAAAGAAGATGAATGTAAAATCTGTAGATATTGGAGATATTATCAATCTATGACTGAAATTCAATTGGTGCACAAAAGGTTTATGAAGAGAGAAAGAGAAATATTGAAGACGATATTATAATATTTCTTACTGTTTATAAAAGACCACCTTATGATTATGTCAGAGCATTTCTTAAAATCAGTAAGAAAAATATGAAATGATGTACAGTGTCTTGTGGATGTGTTTATATCAATGCAGGGAAGGGCTTGATTTAAAAGAAGATATAAAAACATATGCTGAAAATACAAAGTTTAATGTTAAAAATACCGTGAGAGATACTGATATGATGTTTAAAATGATGTTTGAAAGAGTATATACACAATTTAATAGTCATCAGTTAACTTGCTATCCTGAATTTAAATTGTATAAAATATGATCAATATAACAAATCTTAGTTTGTTATATGGATAAACAAAAAGTTATTAGTGATATTTATTACGCTAAAAGCGGCTATGGAAGTAAAGCAATAACGTTGAAAGAAGCCAGGCAGAAAGATAAAACTATTACTGCGAACGATGTTAACGAATTCTTTAAAAATAACGTTGAAGAGAAAAGAAAACCAAGAGGACAAAATAGTTTTGTTGCTCCTCATGCCTTTTGGGAATTCCAGTTGGATTTGTTTTTTATTTCTAAAAATGAATTGGAAAATCAGAAGTTTAGAATTGGATTAAGATTAATTGATATATTTAGTAAATATGCTACTGTATTACCCATAGCAAGTAAGCAACCGGCAGATGTGTTAGCAGGACTGATGGAAGGCATTAAGAAAATGGATGGAAAACCCAAAATGATATACAGTGACGAAGAGGGAAGTTTGTTTAGTTCTGTTATTACAGATTATCTTGATGAGGAAAAAATTGAATTCACACACCACAAGAGGACATCCGGCATTTGGTGAAAGATTTATTAGAACCTTTAAGGCTATGCTTTTTAAAAGAGTTGATGCGGATGAAAAGAAAGGTAAAAACAATATACAATGGATAGGTTATATATTAGAAATGTTATTGACTTACAATAACAAATTAGAAAGTTCCGTTACTAAATTTACTCCAATAGAAGCAAGGAAAAAGAAAAATGAGTTTGAGGTTAAACTGAATATATCAATGAATGCCAGAAAAACCCGTTTGTATAATGATTTAGATGTAGGGGATAAAGTCAAGATTATGAGAAAGAAGGCGATTACAGAGAAAGAACACACCAGCCACTATTTGAAGACTATTCCCACCGTAACTAAAATAGAAACTAAGTTAGGGCAGAAATATTATTCTGTTCGTGATTTTCATAAACCTCTATTACGACATGAAATGTTAAAACTATAGTTTTAGACCAAAAAGGGTTTAAAGAAATATTACCTATATGTATTAGTGAAATGGAAACTAATCAATTACCTGTTGAAGTTATTAATAACATTATTTCCTATAAATATGGTAAGCCAGAATATATGAGAATAAAGCATAATCATAATGAGGCATTAAAGAGAATACAGACCAATTACAAATTTAAAACAACTAAACCACAAACAATATACAAATATATAAGTTTGTGGAGGGACACAGAAACAAATTAAAGGTGAATATGATATTGAAAGAAGAGTGCCATTTGGAATAGACAGCATTGAAGAAGTAGAAGATAATACTGATTTTCAAGCCAAACTAGATGTGTTTTTAGACATAAGAGTTAGACATAAAGAACGTGCGTATGAAGAATGCATGTTTTCAAGTTTAAGCATAAGTTTCTGCACTTATGATTTGAATGAAGATAATTATATAAGTATAAATGAAAACAATATTAACAAAGTGTTGAACGAAGCAGTCAAAAAACCGAAGAATAGCATTCAAAACCAAAACCAGCCTTTTTACTATTTTGGCATACAATCATGTAGTTTCAGATTAATCATTAAAGAAGATGTTTAAATAACAGAACAAATCCATTGTTAAGAAAATTAATAATTATCTTAAACATGTTGTTCTTTTGGACTTTTGGCTTGGACAATAAATAGTTTTAGACTAAACAGGGTTTAACGAAATATTACCTTAATATGATAGAGAAAAATGAACTCCAATTATAAGTTTATTGAAGATGAACAAAAGGACATCATTGATGAATTCCTTAAATTTGTTAAAATCAATGAATATAAAAACACATTGACAAGTGAGACTGAAACCTGTCAGTGTAAATGCTATAAAAGCCATATGAACTGCAAAGTGCTTGACAAAATGCCATTTGATGAAGAATTATTCAGAATATCTACTCTATCTATGATTTATGAATGTTCAACTTGTAAAGGTAAAAAGAGTTTCATGGAAGACTTTAACAATATTAAAAAATAACAATGTAAATACTATTCGTTGGCATTTTACGAGACATAGGTTTCCTTCAATAGATGTTGTTAGGCAAGTAATTAAATGTGGCAAAGATCGTTATGATATGTTCAAAAACTTATACAACAATGTAATTATCAAAAATGATTATGAAGAGGAGGATTTGTTCGATGCAATCCATGAACACAAGCATAATGTTTATAAAACATTAGTAGATATCAATAAAAATTATCAAACATATAGATAACATACAAAGAGGATGGTTTAAAGCTGATTATGAACCAGTGATTACAACACAAGCATCTCAAGGACGATTTTGGTAATCTTTACTGTTTAACTATATTCCTATTAAATAATGTAATTGAATACATACAATCCTAAGTGAGTGAATCAGTGTAATCTTGGTGAGGGTTGTGTAAAAGTCTATTGTATGGTCGGTTGTTTGGTGTTTTTTGCGTGGTTTGTTGTTTGGTGGGTTTTTTTCGGGGCAGGTGGCTTACCCATCTCATGTTGTGGTTTTGGTATGGTTGCTTTAGGGGGCGGTTATTAAATGGGGTGAAGTGTCGGGGGGGGGTATATGAATGGTGAAAATAGTTTGCTTGGGGGTAAGCTACTGCTTGCTGTCACACCCCCTTGCCAAAAAGCAGGGAAGCCAAGAAGCAAAGAAGCAAAGAAGCCATAAAGCAAAAGCCCAGAAGCTGGAAAGCAAAAACACAAAGAACACAGACACTTCCCGAAATAAATGCCACCCCCCCCCCGTTTCCAAAGAAAGATGGGGCCAACGGACTACATGGGAAGTTGAGGGTGAGGAAACCAGAGCCGCACTTGCTCCCCTAAGCATGGTTTGTATCCCCTTCACGCCTGCATACTCTGCAAGGTCCAGCCAGTGCTGTTCTCCTTGGCCAATCACCAGTGCTGACTTCAGTAAATTTGCTCGAGCTCCTGGCAGCTGCCGAAGTGGATGCCTACATTGTGCACCA